GGCTAGATTCAAAACGGAAAAAGATTCACCATTTAATTTAAATTTTTGAAAGCTAAGAACGCGATAATTAGAATGAATTACAGATAATATTTAAAAGCTAAATTTTAAATTTACCAACAGTATGAAAAGATCTACGTGTAGAGAGGAAATTAGAAAATGTATGCCATAAAGCACAAGGTTTTTATATACTTAGGGCGGGTATTATAAAACTACTTTGAGAGTTAACTTAAAGTTAACTTCTGGAATTACATGTAATTCAAAAAGTTAACTTCAAGTTAACTGTCAAATCAGTTTTATAATACTTGCCCTTAATCACCCTTGGCCAAATGTTTCATAATAAAATTAATATGATTCTCTCTGTTTGTCAAAAAACACAAGATTTGTTATAATGGTTTAATTTTTGCATTTCAAAATATCAGAACATAAAGCAAAACATATGGTTGCAATCTTTACATATTCATTATCGTAATCCATAAAAACACTGCAAGTTTCCTATCAATTCCATGCATTTAATAATGAATGATGCATTTACATAGTAAACGCAACAATAAAGGACTGCAGCTGACGTCACCTCCAGCGATAGTTTTCGCATTCTACCATTGTAATTGCGTACAGCTTATCAAACCCGATTCGTGTGTTCGTAATAGCTTTTCCGTTCGATACGATGCGTCTACGCTTCGAGTTTTCCTTCGACTCGGGAACTTTTTACGCAACCTATGTTCATAATCCGGGCTTATTTATTTATCAAAAATGAAAGAGAGTTATTATATTTTGGAAATGTTCGATCCTGAGGCAAAGAAAACATATAAAATCATATAAAAGCTTGAGAAGAAATAGATGAATAGCCACCCACGGATGCCACAGCTGACAGGTTGTGGCGTGGCGCCGCGTGTCGTTTCAAAATCTTATTTGAGCGTTCTAGTGTACGACCGTCCGTACAGCTCGGGAGCTCAACGCTCCAAGTAGCTCCCAGCTTTATACTCCCATACCGGAAAGCTGCTCATATCACTTGCGGCAAGTTGGATCGATCAGATTATTCCAAACAAATACGAATCTGAGGCTTACTTATCAGCCTCGTTTTTGGGAATCGCGGCCATATTTTATAGCGCCAATTGACGACGGCATCAACTACGTCGTCAACTGTTTGCGCCAGCGGTCGTACCTGGTTTAGAATATATATTTATGGTGAAAATTATTATTTAATTTTGATTAATCTAATAAGCAAAGAGGAAGATGCAAACGAGATCTCAAAAAGCGTTGTTTTAGAATGTTAATTAATGTACTGAAGCCAAGTATGCATAAAGCAAAAGCCCGCGGAATCATAACCTGTGGTGCAAACACCCCAAGGGTGATACACACTACTCTACAAGGACTTTATTCTCGAAACCGAGGAACAGCGTTCTCATGAGAACGATTGCTCTGTCATCAGTGTTATGGAAATATGAATACGGACGAAGAAGACAGAACCTTCGTTCTCATGAGAACGCCGCTCCCCTGTTTCGAGAATAAAATCCCTGATGAGAACGATTGCTCTGTCATTATCAGCGTATGGAAATATGAATATGGACGACGAAGACATAGTACCTTCGTTCTCGTGAGAACGCTGCTCCCCTGTTTCGAGAATAAAATCCCAGGATAGCCTATCCTCATAAGGCCTGTGTAGAACAAATCCCCTCCCCTTCGACAAATCACCCAGCTGTGACGTAACCACAATGAAGTAGTAAGAAGGTTGGAATAGCCCTTTGCCTATATACTCAGTACATATTAGGCAATTCAAACCACGTGACATTCAAGATGGCGTGGCGGCGGCCACACATGGGCCAAAAAACACAAAAAAATATCTAGTTTCTGCCCGAATTAATAGTTTAGGTACCTAGTCAACAAATATTTTATTAAATAATGAAAATCAAAGTTGTCAGCAAAACTGAATGCAAAATAATTTAAAATACGCACATTGTCCAAAACATATTCAAAACAAACTTGCTTGGCCGCCACGCCACATTGAATTTTCCTTTTTGACAGATCGATTGAATTGCCTAATATTTGCGGCCAACATTAGAGTGAGAAAACAGAAAAGATCCATGAGATTTTCTTGCCCTTACTAGCGCTATCTCACTCAGGGTTAGAGTGAGAGATATGGGAGTTCCAATATATTTCTTGCCCTTATACTAGCGCTACCTCATTCTGGAATCAATTGAATGACGCAAAGCTCATTCCATACCTTCTTTCTACTTCATTGCGTAAGCAGCACGGCGTTTCTCGCCTTGACGTAGGCTGCTTGAACAGCTGACGACTAGTTATGACGTCGGAAATGCCGCCACACCAATATGGCGGCGATTACCAAAAACGACGCCAATAAGCAATCCTGTAGGTGTGTATCATCCTTGCCAACACCCTACGTCAAGGTAAGGGAGAAACGACGCGCTGCCTACTCAACTCTGGTTCTCTGGCTTAGTGGGGGGCTTGAGATTTGATCTACACAGGCCTTAAGCCTAGTACTCATAACTGCGAAATTCGCATTTTTTTGACATTGCGTTGACAATTTGACGTTTTATGCGTGTATCAAACTTCAAATTGTCGAAGCAATGTCAAAAAAATGCAAATTTCGCAGTTATGAGTACTAGGCTTTATGAGGATAAGCTTTAAGCTATCCTGTAGTAGTAGGTACTTTATCCTTGACCGTCACCGCTGTTTGAAGGGCCGGTTTCTCAATAGCAAGTCACTCCAGATTAAGCAGAACTCGGTAAACATAGCAACTGGACTCGCTTACCCTGGAGTTAAAACCAACCCGGAGGTGACTCGCTATTGAGAAACCGGCCCGAAATGTACCAATCGAAGAGAAACAAAAATGACGTCATAACAAATGGTTTTAGTTATAATTTACGTTAACTCTGTCATGTTGCGAAATCATCGAGCGCGTTTGGGTTGACGCTCGGTGCACTCAGAGCTTGCACTTTTGTCTCAGCTCCGACAACGCTTGATTGTGTTTGGTTTGACATATTTTGAGCGCTCAGAGCGAGCTCGATAAACTCCGAGTTTGTGGAGTGGGCAGCTGGAGCGTGCATGCGCAGATCAGATGTGTTTAATCTGTCTGTATAACCCAATGAACTATAGTCAAAAACTGGAATGTGCACACATTAACATATCTGCCAAAAAAATGTAGCCATGAAAGACAGATGCCACAAAGGGGAATGTTGTTTTTTTCTGTTGCTCGCTGACATATGACGTTTTGGAAAGTTTTGTCATATTTACCTTCACAGGTTTCATCAATTGGAATACGTGTTGGAAGCAATTTCCGCCATTTAACATAATGAGTGCGACAAAAACAGGTATCCCCTCCGCAGCAGCGGCACTAGGCTTCACGTTCGTCAATATGTGTTCGCATTCCAGTTTTTGGTTATAGTCTTCCTTCATTGGTATAACCTAACCTATTTTCCATGATAAGATAAATAAAATAAACAAGGCCGTGGCTAAAGTAACAGAGGTGTTACTATAATTATTAATTTAAAGTAACATCAGTTCAATGACGTCACTGATGACAACGTTACTTTTATTAGGGGCTATAGTAATAGAGGTGTTACTCTAATTATTTTCTTGAAGTAACGTCAATATAGCAATATGTAGATAGGTACTTTCTTTAGCAATTTAAAGTAAAGGTGATATTCTTGGTATTTGTTTTACAGTAAAAATGGAAATATATAAAAAATAACCTGACTTTGAAGGATAGAATAGAATAGGTACCTATGAAACAGGCAGTATGGGCAAGGCAGGAAAGACACATTTCCCTATGACCCTGTCAGAAAGTGACAATTTTTTACCTTCTTTTCAGGAAGAAAAATAGTTATTTCCCCACCCTAGGGAGGAAAGTAAATTATTTTCCTTCCCAGGCAGAAGTTTTTTCGCTGTAGATAATAGTTTTATGTTAGGTATCGTATATCTCCTCATGTGTAATGCAGGTATTAGGTATAGATTATCAATTACTATTATCTTGTTGTATGAAAAATCATATACTTAAGTAGGTATATTCCCTTGGAGTAGTGAAGTTCCGTTTCTCTCTTTGGTAATTAAGTAATCGAATTTTACCTACACACACTCCCCTCCCTTTGGATTACAAATAACTATTAAGTAAGGGCATGTGAGGAATGGAAATATGGAGCCGCCGACTAATCACCTTCGCGATACCAAAGTTTAGCATCATAATATTGTTGTTTATATTTAGCCATTACTCAGTATTAACTTATAACCTCGCTTCTGTAAGGGTTCTGCTTTTAGTGTCATTGACGTCGTAATTGATGTTACTTTAAGAAAATATTTATAGTAACACCTCTGTTACTTTAGCCACTCCTGAATTTTAACATATATTTGTTAGGTGGATAGTTTTAGCTATTTTGTTTAAATGTTAACAATCAAATAGCTAGTAAATTCTGCATAATTGTTCACTTTTGATTAATTTTTTTTCGATAGTCCTCGTCACTGGTATTATTGAACATATTTTTCCAAGGGAACTTGGCAGCCTCAGAGTGTTTATGTCCGTTTTATTGTTTATGTAGCACGACATTTACTGCAGAATACAAACGAAAATGGGGCAGTTTGAAAATTATCAACTAAAGTCTAAAATGCAAAACAAACGAGAAAACTCTAGTGCAAATGCGGAATGCGGGCTCGGAATCCAAAAAAATTATGCTACGAAAAATAAACAATAATCAGCTGTTCGCATTAACAGCATTTTTGCACAAGTTTATTTGGCTTGACCGGGCTTGACACGGTGTACTCCCTGTGACGTCACGTTACTCCGTAATCGCTCTGCTCGCTCCGTTGAGCGTCAACCCAAACACGCCCATCAATGAGATTTCTATCTTTGTTCAGAGCATGTGAAAAGGGAAGGAATATTCCCTGCATACAATACTCCCACCAAAAAAAGATAGCGCTATGGCTCGAATACAAATGGTTCATTTTTAATTTTTATTTTTATAACAAATACAAATAACCTCACAATTTGTGTGTGACTGGTGACTCGGACGTATTTCTGTTTATTATTTATTTAAGGCTCTGCAAGTAATATTATTATTGAAGTTTTATATTAAAATATGGAATCTCTCATTGCAAACGTTGAACACTTTCAATTCGACATAGAACTCGCATTGGAAGAGCAATATGGGGCCCTCCCGCTGCCGTTCCCCGGGATGGACAGTAAGTTGATATAAATTGTTTTGATTTTTCTCTCTCACACCTTTTTAAACATTCCTAGAATCCACCACGGCCGTGTGTCAGTTCTACTCTACCCAAAAAGGCTGTCCGAAGGGAAATAATTGCCCGTTCCGGCACATGAGAGGCGACAGGACCATCGTTTGTAAACATTGGCTGAGGGGGTTGTGCAAAAAGGGCGACCAGTGCGAGTTTTTGCATGAGTACGACATGACCAAGATGCCTGAGTGCTATTTTTACTCAAGGTTCAACGCCTGTCACAACAAGGAATGCCCCTTTTTGCACATCGATCCCGAGAGCAAAATCAGGAACTGTCCTTGGTATGACCGTGGATTTTGTAGACACGGTCCTCATTGTCGGCACAGGTAAATTATTAATTTTTGGGCAATGAATGGGTTTTCCCAACTAATATTTTCACTGAGGTTTCCCCTGTGTGTTTTTAATTAACTTTTTTTGCTCAGTACAGTAGAATACAATATCATTTACGAAATGACTAACCAATTCCATAATATCACAATTTTAGTTCATTGGCGTGCCTACATAACAAGAAAAATTTACAAAATATTGATAAGACCGCAAGCAGATTATAGTTGGTAAAATCAGTTAGCTACACCTATGGGTAGTATAATTTACAAAAATACGCCTCATGAAACCTGGGAACCCAATGTTTGGCGAGGGGATTTTTAGATTCGACATCTGATAGATCAAGCCTTTTGGGTGGGTTTTCTTGATGAAGTTTGTACAAATTCTGTATCTGTGTACAAATGAGATTATTGATAGTGTTGGGTCAATCTCGAGGTCAATCTGTAAGGGGTTTAGGGATTAAAATTTGGTGGGTTTTATTCGTCTTACCCAGTCATTAAAAAATAAACAAGGAAATTGAATTTTTATAGTTTGCCCAAAAATGTTTTACTTTTCTAAGCTTCTTCAAATTTTGGAGTACCTATGTTCACTATGTCCCATGTACTACTATTCCACTTTAATGATGGGTGCAAGTATAAAATGAAACTTGTGTCATGAAAAATGTCAAACCGGCAATTTTTATAATGAAAATGAGTTTTGATAGTTTGTCAAAAATGTTTAAAGAACTAGAAAATTAAGCCTCCTGCATCATAAATTTTTTGGTGAATTTTAATCCAGAAGTTGATGTTAAACTTAAAAAATGAATAAATTTTCGAAAGCTAGGCGGAGCACAAAAGTTTAGAGACTTTTATTTAGCCCTTCGACTGATACCCCAGAAAATACCCTCTAGATAAAAAATGAACTATACCATGTAAAGAAATTGAACTTTAATAGTTTGTACAGATTTTTCAACTTTTCTGAGCAACCTACCTACTTCAAATTTTGGAGAACTGTTAAATGAAACTTCCTTCATTAAAAATATTAAATTGGAGGGTTGATATTTTGCTTAGAAATAGAACTATGACCACCTTCCTGAATCAGTTGAATTTTTACTAGGAAATTGATTTTTGATAGTCTATTTTTTCAGCTTCAAATTTTTATGAAGTGTAAAATGAAACTACTTCCAATTAAAATTTCGAAGCAGAAGTTGATATCTAGCTCAGAAACTGAACTAACGAAATTAGGGGTAAGGGAGTAATTAGGTATTTTAGCTGACAAAAAGTACTGAAACACAAAAATATATGTACCTAATATGTAATTTTTGGGGTTATCAGGGTCAAAAATACGAATTTGGAGTTGTTTTCATAAAGTCACAAATGCTTACACTGCCAATCTTATGCAGACCAAGGTATTTGAGGGAAATTTGCAAAAGCAATGTCAAATTTGTGTTCCTTGACCCCAAAAACCTTAGAATATACCTTTTTTTAATTTTGATAGGCCCAAATGAAGCCTGCAAAATTATTTTATGAAAAATTCAACTTTACTTTTTAGGAGTGATTTCGACATTTAAGGGTTGTTTTCTGGAAATTGAGTTTGAGGAACCCCAAAAATACGGCGCGTTCCGATTTGTGGAAAATTGCGCTTAAGGGTTGTTTTTGGGAATTTGTTTCTTGAGAGTTCATAATTCGATTTTAGAAATTGGAGGTGCTAACTTCCCCTAAGCTCCACAAGAAAATTGATTTTTTGAAAAAACTAAGGGAACCAAATTATTTTTATTGGTGCTCTAAAATTTGAATTATTTTAAGCCTTCACTCTGCTTTATAGAAAAAACTTATAATTTCAGGCATGTGAGAAGAGTTTTGTGCATAAACTACATGGCAGGCTTCTGCCCTGAAGGTCCCAACTGCAAATACATGCACCCACGTTTTGAGCTTCCAGCACCTCCCGATCAAAAGCTCCAAGACAAAAACAAACCGCTAGTGATCATCTGCCATTTCTGCGGAGATCATGGTCACAAGGCGATTCATTGCAATAAAATGTCTCAGCACCATCACCAGAAGGAGCTTCAGATGCTGATCAACAACAGTGAGGACGGCAAACGGGAGTCACTGGGCCTGACCAGGCCGCCCATGAAGAAGCTGGAGGATGTTACGTGCTACAAGTGCGGCTCCAAGGGGCACTACGCCAACAAGTGCCCCAAGGGTCATTTGGCATTTTTGTCTCAGAAGGCGAATCAGCTGACACAAGAGCGTTTGGCTCAGCAGATGAAGCAGCAACAGCAGCAGCAGACGAATGCTGATAATGATAATTTGGATATTTAATTATATGTTTTATTATAAATCTAGGTATAAATAAGTTTGCAAATTCATTTAATCATAATTTTTGTAGATGAGCTACAATCTCTGGAAATTTTGCCTCAATATGGCTTGAGGATACCAAAATATTGGGGCTCACATATCTTTCAAGGCGGGAATGAGATTTTTGCCATGTTCCAATTGAATTTTAGCTCTTCGATGGTCAAATATGAGTTTGGGATTTTCAGCGCTGCTGTCAAATATAAGCTCTTTGAACCCCTCTAGGTCAACTTCACCTTTTGAATAGTCGAAAATCGGTTCTTCACCTCTCCAGTTCAATTTTTGGCATAAGTAGGCTCATAGGGGTGAATAGCTGACCCAAAATGTGTACACCGACTGCCAAATTCCACAATCTTTGGGGAAATTTGCTAAGATTGTGAGCGATTGTGTACGATTGTGAGTGATTCTGTACGATTGTGAATGATTGTAGAAGGATTGACTGATTGTGTCATGATTGTGACTGATTCTGTTATGATTGTGAGTGATTGTGACTGATTTTGTCATGATTGTGACTGATTGTGTAAGGCTTGTGAATGATTGTGGAAAGACTCGTGTAAGGACTATATGTGTTTTCTCACGTGTCAAATGTTTAAAAACGTTTTTAAAACTGGTTTAAAACAATGTCACATGACGTCATAACTTCTCGGCTCGAGAAAATGGTTTCAAAACGTGGATTGGATTGTATTTCAAAACGGTTTGACAAATTTTGATGACGTCATGGTTTCATCGCGACTATATACAGGGTGTTACAAATTCGCAAATATGCAGATCTCGATATCCATAATAGATATAGGTTCGGTCAAATTGGGACAAAGTTACGCAATTTCTTGCTCGACAAAATGCCGTTTCGAAATCTGGAAAATTCCGAATATTTCCGGAGATATTCGGAAAAAAACGAAATTTTGCATTTTTTTTTCCTGTGCTTATTTGAAGGGATACTTCAATATAAATAACACTTCATCGTTGCCACTTTTTATCCTCCACAATATGGCGTTATCAAATTTGGAATCCGACGTTTCGTCTTTGGGCCAACATCATCAACTTTATTTTTTTAATTACGGATCTGGATTTTTTATTTAGTTCTTTGTTAGTTTTTGACTTCCTTAATAGGATGGTGAATCAAAACAATCGATAGCACGAACATTTCAATCAAAAAATTATATAATTTGTATGGAGATACTCATCTAAGGGTGGGTATTATCAAACTACTTTGAGAGTTAACTTAGAGTTAACTTCTGGAATTACATGTAATTCAAAAAGTTAACTTCAAGTTAACTGTCAAAGCAGTTTTATAATACCTGCCCTTAGTCAAACACATTGTTTTCTTCATAAATTTGTCTTTGTCAAACTCATTATTTATAATAAATATAATACAGTGGGTTCGCCTAATTGTGACATACTTTTCGTTCAGTAGCACAAAAAAAATCATTGAGACTTTTTTTTTTTAAATCATCGATTTCAACGTATCTGTGGTAAGAATACACATAGTCTTATATGTTGTATAATGTTTTGTATTGTGTTTTAAGTAAACATGGGTTTTATTATATTTTTTAAAAATATTTTTAGGTGTCACAATTGGACTCCATAAATTTTAAATGTGACACTGGTTAGCGGGTAAATGTGATCTGGACTAAGTTTTACGATGAAAGCGTTCTATAAGCTGCGAAGTTAATTGTGATCTACTCTGTGTCACATATAAACTCAACAAAAAATATTGGGAAGTAATTTGATGTCACATTTAGCCGAAAAAAAAAATAATAATCATGTTTTTGAATAGTTTAATCAAAAACTAAATGGACATTCTATGATAAAAAAATACAAATGAAAGAAAATCAGTCTTCTTGAAACTAGTAAGTAAAAATAGCATACATTTATGTTTTTATCCAATACATACAAAATAAATCATGTTTTTAAATAAAAGTTCAATCAAAAAATAAATGGCTATTCTAATAGAAAAATACAAATGAAAGAAAATTAATCTTCTTGAAACTATTATAGGTACAAATAGCATACATTTATGTTTTTATTCAATACATAATCCATCAAAACTTAATGCAAAAGATATTTGTCCTCTACGCCCTTCTGCCGGTGCTGGAATAACCTTGTGAATGTCGTATATGGAAACAGTGTCAATGTCATCAGTGTCCGGCCACACAAAATATGATTTATACTTTTTGAGAAATTTAACTTCTGCGCTTTCATCTTCAATATTTAATACTTTTCCCACATAACGTCGAAGAGACTTTTTTGTACTGTATGTTACAATAACCCAACTGCCAATTTGGGGACCGGAAATGGAAATATCATCATCTTCTTCATCACTTTTTTCTGCTTCTACTAACTCTTCTAAAGTTTGAATATCATCGTATTTATCATCATGAGCATCAAGACTTTCGGGAATGGACTCATTACTACTACTGTCATCGTCGTCCATTTTTTTGATATTTTTTTTAATTCTTTTTTTAGCTGTTTTCAGCTTCTCACGCTCTTCTAAATTTTTGAGAAACTCCTCCCTTGTAATCACCTCAGCATTCATGGAAACTTTCTTTTTCTTTTCTGTCGAGCTTTTACCCAAAGATATTTTCTTCAAAAGAAGATCTTCAAACAGTATTTTTTCTGATGTAGATGGCCGCTCTTCATTTATGTTACTCGATGTTCCAGGCTGCTCTCTGATTAGGTTAGATGTCCCAGGTTCCGTGAATGCGATGTTGTCTTCGGAATTTTCGTGTTCTATTTCTGAAGACGATGACGTATATTTTCTGAGGTCTATTGCATTGAAGTTAACTGGGTATAAGCCTGTAATTTGGAAAGATTTTTTTATCAACTGAATCGGCAATTTCTCCCAAATTTTTCCAACCATTACAGAAAACTCGGCCTTGCTTAAAGCAATGCCATAATGTCCTCTCTGCCATATGGTTAATTCTTCGTCCCACATTTTTTTAAATGTTCCAAATGGCACTGCATCTAAGGGTTGCAAGACATGTGTCGTGTGGGGTGGAAGTTTCAGTAATGTTATATTTTCCGCACTAGCCAATTTTACAAGTTCTACAGAAACATGTGAAGTATGCCCATCAAAAATTAGTAGAAGTGGTCTTTCCTTGGGGCCATATTTAATAAAGTGGTTATTGAACCAAGAAAAAAACGCAGACTCGGTCATCCATCCGTGAGGAGTTGCAGCATAGCCAGTATTAGGATAAGCGCCTTCAGGCATCCACAAATCCCATAGATTTTTGGCCTTATAAATAATAAATGGTGGTAGTCTGTTTCCGTCAGCTGAAATACAGAACAAAATACTTGTGTTGCTTCTTCCTGTGCCGTGCGTGTGACGAAAAACTGGTTGATTTCTCTGCGACACAACCTTTGTGTTACTTGGATCGCTACAAAGTGACGTTTCATCTATGTTAAATATTCTTTCTGGAGCGTTCAAAAGATCTAGTTCCTTGAGTGTATTCTCATACAATTGAAAAAAAAATTGTATTATCTCGGGCGTTGTACGCGCCGTACGAATGCTTTGTCGTTTTATTGGTTTCTTGCAAGACAAGTTGTGTCGTCGACAAAATCCGATGAACCAGTCTTTTCCAGGAATTCCATCTTTAAATCTAGTTACGATTTTGTTTTCTTTCACGTAAGTGCCTACTAGACATAGGATTTCCTTCCTCGAAAGACCAAACCCCCATTTATTTAAAGCATTCAAATTTCTTGCGAGGTCTGCCTCAATCTCTGGAGACAAATCGGTTATTCTACCGGGGTTGTCGTACTTTGTGGGAGCTCTATTTTTCCACCCTTTCAGTCTTGAGATAATAGTTGATCGGGGAATTTTGAAAGTCATAGATGCTCTTTTGCAAGACATAATCCCATTTCTTATAGAGTTTATTGCATTTTCTATGTCCTCCTTCGTATAGCTTTTTACCATTATCCTTTCTTTCGGCATTTCGAACCTGTAAATGAGGAAATAAACCCTTCATTTCTCGTGGTAATATTGTGACAGAGTGTCTCAATTAAACATTACATAAAATCACAATTACACGATTCGCAATTTTTGGGAGCCTAAATGTGACACCCACTCAAGTTTAAAATTTGAAATATTGAGGTTAAGGTACGACATAAAATCTTCACTCCTTACATCTTTACCTAGGTAAACAGCTATAAAACTTGGCCAAATTTACCGTGGTATATACGTAACACAATTGTATGTACTAGAAAACCAAAATAGTAAAATTGAAAAAATAATATTGCAACTTACCTTTTTCTTACTGTGACCACGAAGCAACTGAAAATTTTTGGCGGAATAAAGTGATATGCCCGCGTACTTACAGAGTTGCCAGCTTTACCGTTCTGACATTAAGATGCAAGATAATTGCATGTGTCACATTTACCCTCTAATCACAATTAGGCGAATCCACTGTAATTGGGTAAATTCGAGGGTAAATTGTTTTTGATTGACAAAGATGAGTATCTCCATACAAATTATGTCATACTTTTTTGACCGAAATGTTCATTTTATCGATTGTTTTGATACACCATTCCATTGAAGAAGTCAGCTAGCAAAGAACTACACAAAATGCCAGACCCGTATTCAAAAAAATAAAGTTGATGGTGGGGTGGCCCAAAGACCGAACGTCGGATTTCAAATTTGATAGTCATATTGTAGAAAAGAAAAAGTGCCATCGATGAAATGCAATTCATTTTGAAGTTTTTCTTCAAAAATAAGCTCCGGAAAAAATAAAAACGGTTTCGTTTTTTTAGTACCTATCCGGAATTTTCCAGATTCCGAAACGGCATTTTGGTCAGCAAGAAATTGCGTAACCAATTTAACCGAACCTGCATCTCTTATGGTTATCCAGATCCATATACTTACTCGTGAATTTGTAAACATGCTGTACCTACATTTTTTTTTCCTGCAACGTCTAGGTCTGGATTTTTAGGCCATCTGAGGTGAATTCGTTTTGGTTTTCAAATTAAACTTTTTCAACCTTGTTTTTAACTTTCACGCACAGAAACCACCCGGGCAACCACCTACCTCAATGGCAACCAAACATTTTTGAGGTTGGGTTTATGCCTCGGTTTATGCATATTCCCCTTAGTATTTCCCTATTCAGTACAATTAGAGATCAGAAATGTGTGCTGCAGGTGGCATACAAAATTAAACTCATCAAACAAGCTTATTGGCTTATTATTATGGGCGAAAATGAAGCGAATAAAACTATTTGGAGGGACCTCACGTGCGACAAATGGTGGTAGATTGTGTAGCGATTGTGAGAGATTGTGTAACGATTGTGAGATATTGTGAAACGATTGCGGGAGAATGTGACACAATTGTGAGAGATTGTGTGTGATTGTGTCACGATTGTGACAGATTGTGTGAGATTGTGACAGATTGTGAACGATTGTGATCTGATTGTGAACGATTGTGAATGATTGTGTGAAGATTGTGAGGAATATGTACACCGACTGCAAGAGCTATTCACCCCTCGGTAGGCTCAAACTCAACGATATACTAGAGTCAGAGATAAGATTTTCCAATTGAATTTTAGCTCTGCTAAGGTCAAATATGAGCTTTTTGAGTCACCAAGAGCTAGGAATAAGATTTTTACATTTTCCCAATTAAATTTTGAGCTTTTTGAAATGCTCAATTCTAACTCTTGAAATGGTCAGATATCAGTTTACATGTCTTTGGTTCAAAAAACTTCATTTATAAAAAAAATAATATGTATTAATACAAACAATAGGCTAACAAAAAGTAGTGATGTGAATGACGGATTGCTTTCCCCATAGTTTTGATGGAGCGGCTGATCTCAAAAGTCAGGTCGATCGTACTATGCAGGTTGATCCTCCATGTAATATCTCCACACATGGTACTTTTTTAGATTGGATAGTGACCTCTTGGTCTTCCTTCTCAACATCCAATCATTGCGTAATAAGACTGATAAATTTTATGTTCTCTTGGAGAGTTTGGACTTCCCTGGATTGGTTTGTTTGACGAAGCATTGGCTGAGGAGGGATGAAATGGCAAGTGTCGAAGATAGGTATAGATATAGGCTATTATCTAAATTCTGAGGACCGGTTCTGGTCACGTAGGAACCATGATTCTGGTATATGAGAGGATTAGTTCATGTAGTTCTATAAATTGTCAAAACTTTGATGGTCCAATTGTTGAGAGCGAATTTGAGTTTTCTGTTGTTTATTGTGATGAAGTAAATTTGTATATTGTTTATCTGTACCGTCATCCTTCAGCAAGCCTGTTAACATTTATTGAACGGTCAGTTTCCATCTTCTTGTTCTTTAGTTCTCTCAGGAGATTTTAATATTTATTGTAAAAGTGACTGTAGTGTCCCAGTAAAAAAATTATTATCCTGTGTCAACTTAAAAATGC